TCTCTTTTCTCTTGACCTATCGATTCTTTCTTCCTCTGGTTATTGTCTTTTGTATGAAAATAGTGTCCTATGATATACATATCACATAAAACAGAAACCATCAGTTATCAAATTAAGGAACGTATGGTTTTGTACAGTTAACCCTTCAAGATCTGCCAAAAGTTCCTTTTGAGGAAGCAGCTAATGAAGAACAAGAAGAGAAGTTGGATCTTCCTGATGTCCCAACCAAAGCACCAGTCATCTCCGAGATGGTGCCTGATTTTTGGACCAAGAAAAGGTCTCTGTCCCTCACACAAGGTTCTTGAAAGAATTTAAGAGATTGTTTAATTCCGACAACTTTTTGACATTTTATTTTCCATATTTGTGCAGTTATGGAGGAACCATTACCTGCTTGATGTGGAACCAGTAGTGCCACTGCAACTTGCATCTAGATGCCACATTTTAGTTGTTTTTCAATATTTATTTGAAATTTGAAAAGATTATCATACTTGTGTAAATTATTTTGAAGTTTTGTGGTGACAGTATTTACTATTTACCTATCATATAGTGTACAGTAGCGTAGAATTTATTTTTGGTTAACGAACAACTCTTTGTATATCATGCCAGCTAGAGGGATTGAATATCGTTTTCTTTGTAATTATTGAGCAATATTGATTCACTATGTTATGTGACTTGAAAGTTTGGGTTTCCAAGTTATGTTACCTCCTACTTGAATTCTTGAATTTGAAGTATTTTCTTTCCATGTTCNNTTTGAAGTATTTTCTTTCCATGTTCTTTTTTCTTTTCGTTTTCTTGCAAGCATTGAAACTTATTTCTTGTCACAAGATCCCATCATACTCAAGGTTCTTATAGGTGGTCTCATTATGCAATCTTGATGATTCTGCACCTTGTAAATTGTCTATGTATACAAGACTTTCTACTACTTGTGTTTCTCTACTTTTGGTTCATGTAGTAACCTAATGTCTGAATCTCATGTTATTTTTTATACTCAAAAGTGTTAGTAGATCACGTGTCATGACTTACACATATATATTTGTAGATTAATTCTTGTTTATTGTACAGATTAGTTCTATTTAGTATTATGCATCAAACGGGGAGAGGAGTAAGTGAATAATGTTCCTGGGAAAATGATAAACCAGATCATGGACAAGTTTGCCACCAGGAACCTATTAAAGTTATACTTCAATCTTCTACCATCAACCACTTCACAATTCAAATTCTTTTAAACTCTCAATTCAACACCCATGAATCTCAAGGTTTCTGGCATTCTATTTACACATACAACTGTATAACCATTAATAAAAATATATGTTCGTTCAAAATGAATCAAATTTAGTAGGAGAAGGGAAAAGTAAATTTCAGCAAATTATCTGCGCAGCAGATACACATTGAACATTGAAAGCCATCATCCTTCTGACAAACAAGGTATGAATGTATGCCCTTTTTGTAGTTTTTTTTTTTTTTTTTGGTAGAAAAAAGCGTCAAAACTGCGCATTCTAATCTAGACGGACTTCACTTGTTTTGTTCAACATATGGATAAATTAATAGCACTATAGACTTCACTTAATCCAGATAAAAGAGAGTAACAATCTTCCTCATATTCTTTGCTTCTCGACATGTTTCCATGAGCAATCTACTGTCATGAAATGCAAAGCAAATTACTTGTTGTACTTGTGATATGATGTCCATGTTGCACAGCCTGCATTTACCATCACAAGTAGCTAAAAAGAATATTCGCTACTATTGACAAGAGCATGCTCTACTAATATTAAAACTAACTCAAAACATGTTCGATAATTAAATTTTTTTAGCAATGATATATGTTGCACCAATAAGTTCATCTTGATTACAGAATGAGCAACAACAATTTTTGGCATTCCAGTTTAATGTCATATTGCTAGCATATCGTCCACTCAAAAGTTCAGCCATTACAAATGTCTTTTTACTTATTCAGCATAACAAAAGAGAAAGCCACTACACACATGTTCAATCCAACGCTATAATAATAATTCACTCTTTGCCGGAGGAAGAATAGTTCAATCTGATAAAACCTCATAATAAATAATAGATTCCAGCCATGATTAGTCACGATTATACAACTCATATACTCGCCCGACCATTCTTTCATATGCTATTACTCCTTTACGCAAAATCGGATAATGTAGCTGAGACATTTTATCCCAATACTTTCGACTACCCAAGCAGAAAATTAAAATAAAAAAGGAAAAATGTAGCTCAACAAAAAAGAAGGGAAACATACCAGCTCGGAAAACTGGTGCGCGAGCAAAATCCAACGCCGTTTTGCCTCTTCTCGGCTGGGGAGAGTAGTGCTGGAAGACGGCGACACCACCGGTGGGCACTACCGTGGCTGGAATCGACGGGAACCTTGATGGCGGGAAAGAAATGTAGTGATTTGGGGGAGATTCGAATTTGGGGATTTTGTCTCAGTGCGAAATAGGGTTAAGGGAAGACTTCTGGGCCGGGTTTCTTTTTTTTTGGTTGGGCCGGATCAGTGCCATGTCATCAAATTTGAAAAGCTGTGAAATGGACTGTGAACGGGGACTATAAGAGAAGCAAAATCCTATATATAATTTCCAACAAAATAGCCACCCACTATGTTCTTTCTCTCTCTCTCTCTTCTGTTTTCTCTAACTTGTTGTCGTGTGTTGAATGTATATATATTACTCAGTTTCATGCTTTTCCTCAAAACTGCCGGCTTCTTGCGTGCATATAATTAAATAATTTAAGACCCCGTTTCCTTCCAAAATTCAGTCGGCTTCTTCACTATTCAGCTATTACACACACACACACACACACATTTGGATACAAGTATTAAACATCAAAAAATTTCCGATGCATTTTCTTCTCCAGAGGTGTGCAGTTTCGAAACCTCTGTTTTTCACTTCGATTGGCATTTCCCCTAGTATGGTCTTCTTCGTCATGGCGGCAGGGGGCAGAAGGACCGACCTTATTTTAAAAAGAAAAAGGGGAAGGTCTCTGCTGGATCGGGCTTTCGCCCATTTGAAAAGGGTGGAGACCAACGGAAGAGGTGAACGGCTATGCCCGAGGTTACGTCTCGGGGTGAGGGAAAAACCTGGCATGATTTAGCAGCAGTGGAGTTTGAAAC